TCCACCTGCTGCTTTTGTAAGGGCTTCAGTGGGAGTGGGACCCCATCCAGAGACAAAGTTGGAACCAGGATCAAGCCAGATTGATTACTGACAAAGAATAGGTCTGTCTTGTTGGGATTTAATGTGAGCTTGTTTCAACCCAAGTGGGTTCTCCCAGTTCAAGGAACTGAGCCAGGACTTTCACAATATCCCCAGTCCAGCCCTGGGGTGAAGATATACACCTGACTATCATAAGCATTAGAACCTCTGATTGGAGTAACTACATCAACTAGAAATGCCACTTAAGAAGGAGTGGAAGCGCTGCAGTACAGTGCCCCAAACTCCAACTCTTGCAGGTGGTCCAGAAGGATACCATGGTGGATGGCACTGAAAACCACCAAGAGGTCTAATAATGTCTTAAGGGGCACCTTAAGGCATTTAATTAGGCCCCTTAAACCATTTGACAGTAAACATTCATTCTAAAATTACAAACAAAAATACAATATTAAATACTAACCTCATAAAACACTCCAAACATAAGATAACTATGACAGTTATGGTGATAGGGGAAAGCCAAACAATTTCTGTGAAAGGTAGTTTTGCAGAGAAGGCCAATAATGCTGCACTTGCCCTCCAGGAACAGAGCAGTGTCAGACTCCTTCATTGGCATTAAAGTGCAGAAGGAAAGATTTTAAACAGTGTCACCCATGACAATTCCAGTCATATCTGAGATGGGGATTGAGCTTAGCTGCAGTTAAGTTGGGACGGATGCTTACAGTTGGGGCATGAAAGCTAATTTGGGACAGGAATAATGTCCACAGAAGCCTCATAATCCTTTGCTTGCTGCCTGATCCCTGTTTATGTTTCTAGACTCTATCACCACTGTCCTTTGACTGGAAAGGATTGATTACTGGCTTTTTAGTCTTGTAGGATTCATGGATCCCCTCTAATAATTAGGATTCTCAGAGGCTGAAAATGCCATTGATCCAAAATGAGATGTTGATAAATACCGCAATTACAAATACAGCCAGTGGGTGGCAACTGACAAATGGTAAAAACTCAGTTACAATCCACTGGTTGATCTAGTGTAAAGATCCCTGCATCCATTAAAAAAAAAAAAAAAAAATCAAACCGTTTTTAATCAGTTTTGAGATCTGGATTATCCACAGCATCAATTTAGTAGAAAAAAAAGGAGCAAAATGCAATTTTGCAGAAATAATATACCACAGTTTTCAAATCAATATAACAGTAACAGGAGATATAATAAATCAATTATATTTTGAATTCCAAACAGTCCAATTAATTAAAGGTGTTGCATGCAACTATTATTCTAAATAGGCCAGGGAGGAGAATTTGTAGCATATGAAGATATCCAAAATTTGGTACTAGTCAAAAGGTGTGCATAATGGTATAATTCAAGATTCAGAAAATTGAAATCCCCATCTTTAACTGACAATTGCATCTTTTTCAAAGATACCTTTGGAACTGAAGAATCCCATACAAATTTATGAAATGGTATACTGAGTTTCTGAAAATATTCTCTCTCTCTCTCTCTCTCTCTGAATTCCACACAAAATATAAAGTATCCTGGGATTTATATTAATCTGCAAAGGCTTTTTTTTATTAGGATCATGATTGAAAGAGTTAAATTGTCCCTCCTACTGCATTGTGATAGAAATTGTCCTATATCTATGACCAAGCTTTAAAACTTTCTGATTGGTCTGCATTTGTCCAATTGGGATAACAACAACAACAAGAAGTTGTCATAGTAGTCAGGCCTTTTCAGTTGAGTGTGTGGACTAAGGAATTTACCGGTACTGATAAAAAATTGGACAATATTTGCTCTATACACAGGGCAACCCAAGGAAACCTACTGAGGCCACCAGCGAAGAGACCATGGAGTTACCTGAGTATACAGACAGCTCAACCACTTTATAATGAGTCATTTTGACAACTACCTCAGAATGACACATGTAGTGATACCAGTGGAATGGCAAGTTGCTCTAGGAAGCAGCAAATTAAGAGGGTAACATGGTATCTACAGGGCAGGCAAGGTGGGGCAAATGACACATGGTTGATGATTTCATCATGCAAACGCAATGACCAACATACTCAGAGAAGACGTCATGATGCAAATACACAACTGTGGTATTTGCATGATGATGATATCCCTCATAAAGTCCTTTAGGTGGCATTGCAGTCTGTTACGGGTGCCGTTGCAGGCTGGTGATTGGGAGCTTGGCCAATGAGTTGGCTGCTTTATTACACCTAGTGGGTTGGCAGACCCTGCCCATGTGGACCTCTGAAGCCCACCCAGATTATTAATAATAGGATATATTTATTATTCATGCTTTCCATGATCAAAGCCATTTCCCCACCTTTGACATTTGAACGATGACAGTTAGAATTTCAGCGACGGTAGTCTTCTCTTAGAACTACCTACGGAGAACCAATTTCAGTTAAGAAGCCCTGAACCAACCCAATCCCAGGCACTTCTCTCTTAAGGTCTGTTGTTTCACTTTGTGGTCTAAGCCAGGTTTACCCAATAAGATGAGTATTAACAGTACTGGTATTGTTGCCTTTAAAACTCAGGCACCCCGAGTGGCATGGAGCTGAAAACC